GTCGTGAATCAGCGTTTCCCCGCCGAAAACTGAAAATTTCCTGCGGAAAAATTGAAACTCCCGACGAAAAAATATTTTCCCGCAGGAACTGGCGGAATCACGCTCATTTTTTTTCACTGGGTATATTGACAGAAAATTGCTCAGGAATAAGTGCCAAAACTCTTTTCAGAAAATGGAAAAATAATTTTGGCAACCAATCATGAAAACAAATGAGGCGTTTTGTACAGAATTGGATGCTCTATGCGACGGTATAGTTTCCAGAATTTTTGAAAAATATTTAGGTCAGGAAATTGCATTTAAAATTAAAAAACTTAACTTTAATTTATTCGGCATATTTTGGATATTTTAGAATCGCTGTATCTATCCCGAAACGTTAATATCATTTAAATAAGTGAAACTAGCAGCTGATATTTTCTTCATTCATTTTTAAATAATAGTAAAAATAAATTGTCGACAACAGTACTGTTCATACTTCTGAGCAGTGTCTCTTGTCAATTGAAAATATACGTTGAATATTTCTGTTAATGGTTGTAATTGGATCATTATCAAATATTTATGCATTTCTATGGAAACGAGCATTTCAACAAAATTAAATATGACCTCTATCTACTCGTTTTATAAATAATATTCAATAGATAAACATACGGGCGAGGAAAAACAACACAGAGAGATGTGTCTCTTTGTTTAGTCGTCTACATTTGACTTTACTAATCATCAACAACTTTCTTCATATATTTAGTTACACGATGTCGAAAATTGCATATCTTGATCTCTTTTCTATCGAAAAATATTCAAAGTATAATCAGATGCATCGTCAGAATCGTACTTAAAACAAAAGTTTTCATATGTTTCAAAGGCTAAGAGTATAGATTTCGGATTTTTCAGATAAAGATTTTCCATTTGCCTTTATTTTTTCAATGGATTCGAACACTTCCTTGAATCAACCAGATTATTTATCACATACTACTGATCACAATGAAATTCAACAAATTCAACATATATTTTCCAATATGATAACACAAACCGTTGAAAATAGTCTTAGTGGAATTGGCAATATTTTTGACTATAGTCATGGTGTTCCTAATGATTGGCTTTCCTCCTTTTTCCCACAACACCTGCTATTGCATCAATATTTACTAGAAAATCATAAACCAGATGAGAGTATTGTTCGATACGCATTTAAAGTAATGGATAGAAAAACAAATACAATAATACTTGAAAAAATGCCAGATTATACTAAATTTGGATTAAGATTAATGTTTGATGGTCGTGTTCAACGTGAACTTTTACATACAGAAGCGATTAAACATCTTTTTGCTAAGGAATCATTACGTCTAGGACAAGCATTTGACGAACCGCAATCGCGCGATCACATTGAATCATTTATGAGAATGTATCAGTTGAGTACCGATGAATTATGTGAGCAAATGAACTTGTTTTACTACTACTATTGTAATACAATCTTTCTTTTTGATTAACTTTAGTTCAACCAGATTTGACAAAATATGGTAATTTTAATGAATTCTTTTATCGAAAATTAAAGCCAGATGCACGACAAATTGCATACCCCGATAACTCATCTATTATTACATCAGTCGCTGATTGTAGACTAATTTTGTTTGATAATGTCAGTGATGCTACTCGTATTTGGATAAAAGGTAAAATCATTCGTATACCAGCTATTTATGCTGTATGTTTACGTTTTATTATTTAAAGGACAACATTTTTCATTAAAACGTTTATTCGATGATGAATTAATGGCAAAAACATTTGATTATGGAAGTATAGCTGTATTTCGACTTGCACCAAATGATTATCATCGTTTTCATTCACCGGTTAGCGGTCAAATAAGTAAAATAATACGCAAAATTTCTGGCACGTATTACACAGTTAATCCCATTGTCGTTCGGGAAAATCTAGATGTATTTACAGAAAATCATCGTGCAGTTATGATAATTGATTCTAAAGATTTTGGTCCTGTGGCTTTTGTTGCAATTGGGGCTCTACTTGTTGGATCAATTAATTTTACTGTTGATACTGAACAATATGTCAATAAAGGAGATGAATTAGGTAAGCGAATGAATCAACTACAATTTTGCTAGCTGAACAACATGTTGTCATTTGTTGAGGATATTTTGCTTATGGTGGATCGACGGTAGTAGTCGTATTTCAAATGGGTATTGTGAAATGGGATGATGATCTGATTAATAATGGAAATAATACAATAGAAACGTTAGTATCAGTCGGTGAATCCATTGGGAGAAAGGGTACCTCAGGCCCACACTATGACACAAATACTAAAAATAAGCAACCATTGCAAATGGAAGAAAAGTCGTGTGGTTGTAGAATAATCTGATAGAATTCTATGTATTAACAGTCAATGTTAAAATATCACAATTAGTTAAAGTCAATATTTCCCCAATATGGTAGACAAAAAAATAAAACTGGAGTAAAAAAATTTCTATACACACATGCACAAGACAACGTGAATTATACATTCTTTTATTGAATATGTTTTCAAAACTGGTTTTCTGTTTTGTGCGACGTTTAGAAGTCCTATTTTTTGTTTCAAATATATGGCAAACCTCTTCGTTTTCTAGTTTCGGAAAACTAATTGAGCCTTGGTTGATTAAAAACAATGCACGTATTCTGGTTTATGAGGAAATTTTTCATAATATGCAATGGCAGTGAACTCATCAAATTTCTGTTGGAATTAGTCACTCTTTCTTCTCTTTAAAACTCTCATAGTGTTGACTAAACAGTATTGAAAAACCGATGGAAAACGCCTAATGCACATCAAGACGAGCTTGTTTGAGATGACAAGATATAAGAATCTTTTAAGAACATAGACAAGAAAGTGAACAGACGTGTTTGTAAATACACAACGAAAGAGAATAAGAAATCCACTTAATTGGAGGTAAAGGTGCTAGTAGGACTGGCACGTTCCCGTTACTTTCCGTTACTTTACTCTGAAAAGTAACGGCTTTCCGTTACTAGTTACTAGTAACGGGTAACGAAAATCCGTTACCTGTTACCAGTAACAGTAATTAAAGTCCGTTAATTTGCTTTGTAAAGTAACGGAAAGTAACGTAAAAGATTTTTTCAGACAAAGATTTTTTTGTTCTTCATCGTCTAAGAAATAGACTGGTAAAGAGAAAAATAAACGGAACGGAAAAAGCCTAGCATTTGTTCGCTGAATTCCAAACTGATTTGATACTCCGCCGCATCCAGACGCCCACACACCCTCGCTCAGGTTTCATTTATTTGATATTTAGGACAAACCGCTACGAAATCTGTTCTTTCGTTTTTTTAGACTTTAAACCGATAATCTTTATTGAAATTGTTTAAATATAGGTTACGTTTAGGTGTTTTTGAAAAACTCAAATTATACTGTGCATTTATATATGTAATGTTCAGTGACTGTGTGTCCGTGCAGATACAGACACCCAGACATCGAGCAATAAGTGTCTTATGGCTCTTGTTAGTATTTTTTCTCCGATATCTATCTAACCAGCATCAATGCCCAGGTCAAACAATCGTATAATCAGTCGTACAAGATCAGATATGACCGTACTGTCAGATCGTACATGATCCGATACGATCTTACCTAATCGTAAATTTTCGTACGTACGAAATTGTACGATCGACGTACGATTCGTGGTTTCGGAAAAGTCACAGGGTCCAGATGATATAATTCGTACCAAATCATACGTACGATGGTACAAGATTTTGTACGATCGGATGTACGATGGCATACGAAATCGTATGAGTATACAAGAATTCGTCAGATCGTACGTACGATTGCGTCCGGATCTGATGTATCATTTGGAACGATTCAAACGATTGTCAACGGACTGGTCGCGCTTTCTCCGAGGGTTCTTCTTCTTGGTTTTCCTTGCATCCTGGCTGTTTCGGGTTAATTTCTCTAACTTTACTATATGGAAATCGAACGACATCGAATTTACCCGCTACGTCAACAACGTATCCATCGTCGTCTCGTGGTATGCGATCCCTGTATTACTAACTTCAAGATGGGTTCAAAATATTTTACCGTACACCCCAGCAGACAAACTTTTTCGAAAACGCGTTTAAGCGCACAAAAAAAGACGAAAAATCTAGAAAAAGTGGACGTGTTTAGATGACAATCGGGGTTCCCGATTGTGTGCGAAAAACGCCCATTTTTCGCTCTTCTGGTGCGTTTAAACGCGTTTTCAGTCAAAAACGCGTGTAAATGCATAAAAAAAAGAGAAAAAGTGGTCGTTTTTCTCATAGTCGTCACCAGTGACGCGATCATAATTAGGGTTCTTGAGTATGAAAAAAACGACCCGCCAAAAACGCGTGTAAATGCATAAAAAAGTGGTCGTTTTTTTCATACTCAAGCACCCTAATTATGATCGCGTCACTGGTGCCGACTATGAGAAAAACGACCCCTTTTT